AACCGAACTCCTGCTGTAGTGGCTGGCAGTAGCTTGATAGTGCTGTCTTTAACCCCTGTGCTGCCAGAGAGGCCCCAGGATTCTTTTTTAAATTGTACAGTTGATCAGCTTTTTCTGCTTGCCCATATAAATGTTGGGAAGTTTTCTTTTTCTGCACTGTCAAAACCTCTTGTTAATGTTCCTTTCAAACAGTCATTGATCTACTATGTGCCAGGCACAGTTCTGTACACTAGGAGATACAAGGGTAAACAAGGTAACCTGGAAGTTGTGCTCATGAGTTCACATCTCTAGTGTGTATGTGTGTGTGTGTATACGCGCGTGTGTTGGGTATGAGGCTTACGGTGGTTGAGAAACTGGATACTATAGAAATTATAATAGACTGTGAGGAAGACTACCAAAGAGATAGAGATACATATTGATCCAGTACAAATGCTAGCTAGACATATTGTATATACAATCTCATTTAATTCTCAATATATCTCTGCCAAGAAAATTATCCCGTTTCAAAGGAGGATCTGAACTTCCCTTAGGTCACACATCTAGTAAGGATTCAATCCATGCCTTTCTTTTTTTTTTAAATTGTGGTAAAATATACATAACATGTACAACTTTAACCATCCCTTTTTCAAACCGAAATCTTGTTAAAATTTTATTTCGAAATTCTCACATTTATTTTTTTTAAATTAAGTTAAAACAGACTAAAATGTACCACCTTACCCATTTGTAAGTGTACATTCTCTAGGTAAAGTGCATTCATATCGCTGTGCAGCCATAACTCTTTTCCTCTTACAAGACTGAAACTCTGTACCCATTAAACAACAACTCCTCATTTCCCTCCCCACCATCCCCTGGAAACCACGGTTCTACTTTCTTTATCTGTGAATGTGTCTGTGCTCTAAAAGGCCATATTCCACACAAGAAAATGTGGGAGCACAGAGAAGGGACAGTTGGACTCAGATTGGTGTGGATGTGGGTCAGGAGAGTGATAAGTGTCACAGAGACCTTTGGAGGAGGAGAATCAAGCTGGATTGGTATCAGCCAAGCAAGGGAGTGCACTGGAGCAACAGGCCAGCTGAGCATGAGCTCCTAGCAAGGCTGGTGAGCAGCACGGGATGTTCTGGGCTCTGTAAGCTGCAGCATTCAGTCCCTGCTTGTCTAGGAACAGAGATCACTGAATGCTTCCCCAGTTGTCACTTTCTTGGAATTCCTGTTCCCTTCCCTATTTCTTCTCCTCCATCTCATTCTTTTTTTAAATTGTAACCTTCTTTTTGAAATACATCTATAGCATAATCTATGATTGTGTGGGATGAATTTTCACAAAATGAACCCACCCAGGTATCCTATACTCAGATGGAGTAAGAGAACTCTAACACCCCAAAAAATCCCTTCCAATGCCTACCCTCAAAGGTAACTCTTTTAACAAAAGAAGTTACTTTTGGGCCTCCCTGGTAACCAAGGGGTTAAGTCTCAGCACAATCATGCTCTGGCCTGACTTAGATCCCTGGCCAGGGAGCTAATGCACATGGTACAGCAGACCTCTCCTGTCTCACCCCTGCTCTGCTCAGCAGTATATTTCAGTCAGTCTGCCTGTTCTGCTCCCCATTTTGTTGAATCCTCTCACCTCCTGTACTTTTGGCTTATACCCCAGGTCTTCTACACAAAAATAAGTAAATCTAAAAAAAAAGAGGTTATTTTTGCCCTTTGTGTAGCTTCTATGAATGGGATCTTATAGAATATACTCTTTTAGGTCTGCCTTCTTTGGCTCAACATTCCTCTTTTTTTTTGTTCTGGATCAATTTTCATCCTTGTTTTAATGTCAGAAAACAGGCATTGGGGGCTTCCCTGTTGCTGCAAGGGTTAAGATGTAACCTATGAAGCTGTCTGCAGCCTCTGTAGCATGAGTTTGATCCCTGGCCAGGGAGCAACCACATGGCACAGCAGACCTCTCCTTCCTCGCCCGCTGCTCCCCTCAGCAGTGTATTTCAGTCAATCCACCTGTTCTGTTCCCCACTCTGTCTCTGGTGAATCCTCTCGCCCCTTCCATGCCTCTGGCCTGTACCCCAGCTCTTGTATGCATAAATGAATAAATCTTAAAAAAAAAAAAAAGAAAACAGGCATTGTGTAAGTCCTCCTTCCAGCCAAGACGCTGGAGAGGAACTGACTATACAAATATAAGATGGCATCACAATTCACAATAAGCCACTGGACAAGAAGTTTTGTTGGCCTGGCCCGCGGGCCTACTGCTAGAAAATGGATAGTTCCCATTGAGGACTGTAATGGAGAAGGGACAGAACTTGCCCTGTGCTATTCTCCTAATATTTCAAGGAGAGTGAAGCTTAGGATTGTTAAACATTCCCAGAAGGGCCATAAATCTCATTTTAGCTAGTTTCAATTGCAGAAGGAAATGGCCTGTTTTCTTGGCAATTTTTATTTTTCCCCTCTCAGTCCCTTGTCCGCTAGTTCTCTGGCTCAGGGACACACGGCTTCCTTCCTTCCTTCCTCTCCTGGACTCTTTCCCCTTTTGGCAGTTACATTTCTTCAGAGTTCACCCTTCCTCCGAATTCAGGGACTTTTAGCCAATCTTGGACTCAGGAGATACATGAGTTGCAAGGCATCCTGAAGATGAGCTGATTCATCCTGCCCCTCATTTTTAAGACTTTAAAACAATTGAGATATGATTTACATATAGTAAAGTGTACAAATCTTAGCACACAGTTCAATAAGGTCAATTCAATGAATAAATTAATTTTTACATAAGCAGATTGTCATGTAACCATCATTTAGTCAAGATATAAAACATTTCTGGAACCCAGATGTCTGCTCTGTGATAACCCTTATTTTTCTTTGATAAGAACAATAAACCAATCAAATTTGCTTTTTCTTGAACTTCAGATAGTGGATTCAGATAGTATGGAGTTTTTTTGTGTCTGGGTATGTATGCTCAGCATCATGGTCTTGAGATTCATCCATTGTGTGTTGTTGAGTATCTGCAGTGTGTTTTTTTTTTTTTGAAATTTTATTTATTTTTATACAAGAGCTGGGGTACAGGCCAGAGGCAGGGGAGGGTGAGAGGATTCACCAGAGACAGAGCAGGGAGCAGAATAGGCAGATGACAGAAATACACTGCTGAGGGGAGCAGCGGGCGCGACAGGAGAGGTTGAGTTCAGGAGAGGTCTGCTTTACCATGTGGGTTGCTCTCTGGCCGGCCAGGGGGTCGAACTCATGCTGCAGAGGTTGCTGACAGCTTCAAAGTTTGCCTCTTAACCCCTTGCACCACCAGGGAGGCCCAAAGTTTTCACCTTTAAATACAGTTACATTCTGAGGTCCTGGGGCTTAAGATGTCAACACAGGACCTGGGAGGAGGAGCACAAATCAGCTCACACAGCTACAACAAATAAACAACTTTACTATGAATATTTTTTTTGGTAAACATTCTATATGTATAAAGTGTTAAAGTCCAAAGTAGTTAAACCAATTTAAACTTCCATCAGCAATGTATGAAAATACAGTTGCTCTACATCTTCCTTGAATTTCATTTTAAGAACAAGGGGAAATCATTGGGGGGTTTCAAAGGAGTGACAACTCAACCTAACTAACATTAACAAATGAATTGTAGGGGGTATAAGGAGGAAGAAGCAGGCAAACAATTCAGATTTTACCCTAACCTAGGTGAGACATGTCAGTGATTTAGACCAAGGAGGAGGCAGAGAAGTTTATTTTGGAGGTAGAATTGATAGGATATGGTGATGGTTTGGGTGGATCTGTTGAGAAGAAAGAGTGAGTCAAGGATGATTCTAAGTTTTGAGCTTTGACTCTCCAGGCAGTGAACAAGGATCCTTCAACTATAACCTATCAACTCCAGACTGTACTACAATGTCCATCTCACTACTGCATATCTTGAGCTCCAGGATGTAGTAGGTGTTCAATAAACATTCTGGAATGAATAACTGATGATATGCACAAATGTCTCAGCAGATGGAATGCATTTAATGAAGGTTTTCTTTTGAAGTTTTTTATTTAAGTAAAATTCACATAACATAAAATTAACCATTTTGAAATGTAAAATCCAGTGCTGTTTAGCACATTCTCAATATTATGCAACTATTGGCTTTGTCTAGTTTCAAATATTTTCATCACACCCGAAGGAGTCATCACCCATTGAGGCGTCACATCCAATTCCCTCCTCTCCTCAACTCTGGGCAACCACTAATCTGCTTTCTGTTCCTGTAGATTTACGTATTTCTGGATATTTCTTATAAATGTAGTCATATAATACATGATTTTTGCGTTTGAGTTCTTTTGTCTAGCAAAATATTTTTGAGGTTCATTCACATGGTAGCATAGATAGGTAGTTCACCCTTTTTAGGGTTGAATAATACCCCACAGCATGTATATACCATATTTTGTTCATCCAGTCATCCCTCAATGGGCATGTGGGTTGTCTCCATCTTATGACTGTTGTGAGTAATGGTGCTATGAACACTGGTGTTCAAGTCTTTAAATAGCTTCTCCCCCCAATTCTGGGCACATACACTTGCAATGGAATTCTGGGTTATATGCAGTAATCTATGTTTACCTTGAGGAACCACCAAAGCTCAGTAAAGTTTTACAGAATGCAAAAAGAAAGGAAAGATGGGGCTGAAGCGTTTTCCTATTGCTCTCCCACAAGCATCCCTGGCCTGTGCCATTTGCAGACTGTGTGGGTCAAATCACTTAAATTCACTGGGTTGTTTCCTTACCCTCAAAGTAGGGAATTAAAATTTTACCTGCTTGCTAAACGAGATACTGTTCCCAAACCTCCCGACACAGACTAAGTATCCCCAATTAATTGCCTTCGTTTTCTCCCTGACCTTGCCATTTTACACCTCACTCAAGCTCCCACACAGTTTTGGGGCAAAGTGCATGCCAGCGGGCCCTCCAGCGCAGCCTTCTGCAAACTACAACTCCCAGCAAGCACTTCGCCCCAGCCGGCCTCTTCCAGCCTGGTGCGCATGTTTGGCAGACGTGGCACCGGGAACTCGGAGGCGGGGAGTGGCTGGGAAGTGGCCGTGGCGGTTGCACCCGACTGGGCGGGCGGGCGCGGGAGCCCGAGTGGAGACCGGAGCCGGCCGTGCGCGGCGGCGGCGGGGATGGCGCGAGCCGGGCGGGCGTGGCTGCTGCTGCTGCTGGGCATCTGGGTGAGGCTATAGGGTGGGGGTCCTGCCCGGGGCCGGCACGTGCTCCCAGTGCGGGATTCTGTGCTCCCTGCTCCCGGCCCTCTTCCAACGCGAGGGGACATGCCCCCCAGCTCGGGGGTGGGAACGTGCTTGCCAGGCAGGCTGGGACTCGGTGGCTGCGGGGGAGACAGTGGGGTGCCCCATGCTCCCGCCTCACAGAGCGCCCCGGGGCTGGAGGGAGCCGGGGGTGCCGGGCGATCTCTCGCAGGGTACTTGCGCCACTGGCATAACTTTGCGGGGGCGCAGGTCAGGGGGCGGCCGCCTGCTAAGGCGGGACACCCATGACTTTGGAGGTGCCCCCAGCCAGCCCCTGACGCCGGGCCCTGCACCTGTTTGAGTGCTTTCCACCTGCGTTACCGGGAACCTTTTTTAAGGGCCACCTTGTTCTTGGTTTGGACCCTGAGCTGCTGGGAAACTGCGGGTCACCAATTGGGCCCCAGCTTGCAGGCAAGGCTAGGAGGGTTGGGTGGGGTGATCACCTAGGAGTTCTGCTCCGACATCCAACTGAGGCTCACTCCAACCTCCGCCACTTGGGCTGTGTGACGCTGCGCATCATTTAATGTATCTGACTCTATCTCCTCTTGCATGAAATAGGGACGGGGGAAAGATAGTCCCTTCACAAGGTTGTCACCAGAGCCAGATGAGAAATCCAGATGAGAAATTGGAGGAAAACGCTGTGTAAGCTGTAAAATGCTAAGAGTGGAAGAGTAGCGGGCTAGGATGCTAGGAGTGGTGGGAGAGGAGAGTCTACACGTGTGGGGAGAGGGTAGGGCATCCCTGGGAGAGGCAAGAATGGGTGTGTCCAAGCAGTGCAGAACAACCCCCCATCCGCACCCTCCCCAACGCACCTCCGGTCTGGCTTTGAGGTTACTTTTGGGTGTGTGATGGGATATTATGACCTTCCACATTTTTCTCATAACTTGGGCCTTCCTTATCTTAGGACCATCTTGATTCCTTTTTTCCTTGAAGTTCCAGGGAATTTCCTGTTGCTGACACCCTCGTCAACCCAGATTCTTCAGTATTTTTGTTTTGGGTATGGCAAGGAGTGGGCCAAGTGGGAAGCTGGATGCAGGTTGAGTTGTTTCCAACTCCTAATACCCGATATCCTGCCCTATGGGAGCACCAGTGACCAGCAGCCTCTTATTTCCTGGTTATCTAGAAGTGAATGGGGAAAGAAGCTCCCTGTACCCCTAATTCTGATCATTCTCTCTCTAGGACAGAGCTAGACTGGGTGGACAGTCACTTCACCGCTATCTGAATGTATTTGATGATCTGTTTGCTTTCTGCCCCCTGGAGCCAGTTGACCTGGCTGGGCTCCAGGCCAGGACTGTGCAGCGAGGGCTATCTCCAGCACTACCCCTATCAGATAGTGCACTTGGGTTGTTTTAGGAAGGCCCAGCTTTCCTTTCTTCCCCTCTTTCCCTTCCCTCCTGTGAAAATAAAGGGTTAGGTAATATGACCGGATTTCATTCAGCAAACATTTATTTATCAATGTTTGGGGTTGGATTGGATTTGGATTTTGGGTGGAGAATAAAGCGCACATTGTCTCTGCCCTTCCCTATTACTTTGGGTTGGGGAGCTAGGGTAAGTCAGTCCTGAGAACAAATAAATAGTATAGCCAGTGCTAATGCCCTAAGTGCTGGGCTCCTAATCTAGAGGGCTGATCTGTCCTGACTTTCCTGAGGGGTTGGTTGAATAGTCTGGAGGAAGTGTGCTCATCAGCCAGGCCTTTAGGTTTTTGCAGGTACTTTTTGTCAGGAGGTGTGGAAGTGCAGTTAGGTTTGTTGAGGGCACTAGAATTTGAGAGTGCGCAACAAGGTCAAGAAAATTAACATTTTCTCCTGCCAAGCCCAAGAGGTGGAGGCACAGGGTTGGTGGTGAGTGGCTTCTGAAGACCAGGTTGAACTTTTGTAAATTTAAACTCCATGTTCCTCTGATAAGGGCCCCACAGGAGCCGGGAGTGGATTGAGTCTCTTTGTTCGCTCAATATTTACCAAGGGCTGATGTGTGCACAGTGCTGGGCTGTGGCCTGAGGGATATGGAAGTATAAAGAGGTCTACAGAGCTTTGTGGAACAGGGATGGACATCCTCCACATTGTTTACAATAGCAGAAGTATGGAAATGGCTTCAGTGCTCAAAAATAGCCGCGTGGTTAAATGACTTCTGGTGCTGTCCATACCACGGAAGATGATGTTTATGAAGAATATTTACATTTACTGGAATGCTATGTTTATTATTAAAATATGTTATGATGCTTATGAAGAATATCTGAGGACATGGAGAAGTGCTCAAGTGTGATAATTAGGGGGAAAGCAGAGTGCAAAACTGAAGCCTAGAGTGGCTGAAGGCAGCTCCTTGTGTGTTTGACAACTGACAGCTTATCAGTGTTAACACTGATTGTTTGGGGAGGTGGAGTTGTGGATGACTTTTGCTTAGGCGTTTCTATCTTCCAAGTTTTCTACATGAAGATATATTAGTTTTTGATCAGAAAAAATTATTAAAGAAACCTTTACAACTAGCTTCTTTGGGGGCCTGTTACCCTTCCAGTAGAATACTGGGTAGAGAGTCTTCGTCCTCCCTGGTGGCACAGGGGTTAAGGACACAGTGCTAGCAAGCTATCACCACCCACTGCAACATGAGTTCAATCCTGGCCAGGGAGCTAACCCACATGGCTCAGCAGACCTCTCCTGTCTCCCCTGCTGTTCCCCTCAGGAGTGTATTTCAGTAGATCTGCCTGTTTTGCTCCCCCCTCTGTCTCTGGTATATCCTCTAACTCTCCTACCCCCGCACCTCTAGCCTACACCCCAGTTCTTCTATGCATAAATAAATAAATCTTAAAAAAAAAAAAAAAGAGTTTTAGTCAACACTTGGAACAAGTCAGTTCAGCATTTTCAGGCTGGGTGTCTGCTCACGGCCTGCAGCTGGGGAAGCCCAGGCCGTATTGGGGAAGCCCAGGCCGTATTGTCCTGTCCCCACCCCTATGGCAGACTCCCTTGCAAGTGACTCTTCCCCTGAGCCATCCATGCTGATTGTCAGACAGTCCACACCCAGTCCTCAAGTGGAGAAGTGTCAGACTGGAATGGAGTCTAGACGTCTCCTGGCTCAAGTGGTTCCAACATCAGGCCAAAGACGAGCTGGGCTCTGGTTCACAGACAAATTGGATAAAAACAATGGTGAATGTTTTATTTTCATTAATCCAAATATTTCTCTTTAAAAACTTGTTCATTTTGCTGACCTGATATCCATATTTGAGGGGGGGTGGTAAATCACAGTGTCCTTTTGAAAAATGAAAGTAATGATAATATGTTGTGATTAAAAAATAAATCCTTGATAAAATTTTCTTTAATAAAATCCATAATTTTAAATATATTCTGCCAATCCGTAAGATTCAAAAGTCTGAGAATTACTGAACTAAGGTCCTCAGGCCAGAATTACTGAGCCCTCCCATTCTATAAGAAAAAGTAAAGCTTTGAGAAGAAAGCCACTTGCTCAAGGCCACTTACTTGGTAAAGGTAAAGCTGAAATTAGTGACAGGCCTCCTGATTTATAAATTAGGGTTCTGCCTGCTCCATTTTTTTCATCCCAGCTCTCCCACCTGCTTGCCCCCTTCCAAGCCACTGCTAGGCCCCCTGATGGTGACTTGAAGCTCAGAACCTGGTGGGCCAGTGGGCCGAGGTGGAGGAAGCAGATTATTGCCCCAGTCTCTCCTGCAGAACTTTTAATGTACATGTATTTAGGTTCTACACCATTATATATTTAATAGGCTTTTGTGGGCTGGCCTGGGGACCTAATTGCCATTTATAATGCTGTTTGGAAACTGGAGTGCACTTTTCCCACAGAAATAAACACATTATAGAGGAAGTTTTAAAACAGAACTGGCACTTAAGTTGGAGGAATGGCTGAGTGCTGTATGAGTGGCAAATGCTGAATGCTGTGCTTTTGTGCAAGGGCTGGGCTGGGGGACACTGACTGACAAGAGGGGCCTTAGCTCCCGCCTCGTGAAGACAGACTCCATGCTCTGTGACAGTAGGGATGCTCCCTGTCCTGAGCACCCAGTGCAGGACCTGCCTTGCATTTGCCCCTGGTCCTTAGTTGAAGGAATTAGTATTGCAGGCAGAGAAAGGAAACCTTCAGGAAACTTTCAAAGGGAAAATCCTGGGCAATGAGCAGTGATAGATAGGGCTGGATGAGGGAAGACTTTGAATTTGGAGATGGAGAAATAAGGTGGGAAAGTGGACGGTAAAGGACTTTAAATGCTCAGTAGAGCTTTAGAGACTTGATTCTACAGGTAATGGAGAGAAAGGATGAAAGCTGCCCTTTGAATAACTGGGTCAGTCAGGCCACAGTGTAGGGTTGGGCTGGAGTGGGAGAGACTGGATTAATTTCCCCAGAACAACACTTTCTTCCTCTTACTTTCTCCTTTGTGATCTACAAGATAGTGTCAAGTGTGATGTAGTGGAAAGCTTGTGGACTTTTAGCCAGCCAGACACTCAGAAGCTGTGCGACTTTGGGCCCTGCCTCAGTTTTCTTTCTTTTTTTATATATCATTATACTATGTCATTTATATTCAGAATTCACCAGTTGTCCTTATAGTGTATTTTAGAGCATTTTTTTCTGATTAGATTCCAATCAGAGATTGCACATTGAATTAGTTGTCATGGCGCTTTAATCTTCTTTGCCTTTATGCTGTATGCTTTTACATCTTTATTTTTAATTCATTTACTTTTCAAGCATACTAGCCTCTCCCCCCCCTTTGTATATAGGTTTTTTTCCTTCCTATTTTCCCACCAACTCCATCCTTTGTGTCCCTTGTTCCTTGTCCTTCCGCAGCCTACTTTTTTTTTTTTTAAAGATTTATTTATTTATGCATGCAAGAACTGGGCTACAGGCCAGAGGTGGGGGTGGGGGAGGATGGGGGTGAGAGGATTCACCAGAGACAGAGTGGGGAGCAGAGCAAACAG